TCCATTTCGAGCGCCGCAGAGCATCAACACAAGGAGCCTTGGGGTCTAGACCACCTTTTTTCATATTTTCTTTTAGGCTGTTTTTGTATCTGCGTACAGGGCCACTTGCCAGTCTATTTCCCGACGCCAGTTGACCAAAAAAGACCTACTAGGGAATTCTTTTGTCTGGCATACGTATAACATGCCCTATCCAACGAAACTGAGTTTGAATCAGAAACGTTTTTATACCCATTGTACCGCACTTTGCCAGAACCATTGTGTTTGGGACCTTGTCTTCCCACCTGATACCAGCAATCATACGCAAGCATCTCATATGAAACTGGTCGAGGCAGAACGTCCAGGTTTCGCAAACATAAAGCAGTGAATGAGCACAGCTGCTCTTTATACTGCAATTTTGGTGGCCAGGGTAACTCCATGACGTCCTTTCCAAAGACGTCCGGTCAACATACCAAAAGCAGCACTTTTGCAAGCCATCGACGGATGCACTATTGGAGATATATCCGCCAACAAAACAACTGCTTATGCATGTGTTAATTACTTAACTGTAATGGGTAACACCAGTCAGTCATACTTCTAGTGAATTGATCAACTTTTGTATTGATTATTGTATTCACAATGGTCTTTACAAGTTTTGTTATTCTTATGTGATCGATCTCCGTAAATTCGCACAATCTGTTTTCCTTTTCATTTTGTGTTTTGGATTTTAAATAAATTGAATTTTGAATTGAATTTGAAAATAGATAACAAAATCTATCAACAGAATTGAGACGCGAGTCGTCCGCATCACATGGGCTATTGCCTACAACGAAACTGGGTAGCTCTGACCTCAGTTTTCTTCAGACTGACTGTAAGTCCAAATTTATTTGCTCTTATATGGAAGCGGTTGAACAGCGTCTGAACCTCGTGTGTGCAACCAGTGCACAATCATCAGCAAATAACAGCGAACAATAGAGATCTGTGTCTTGGACTTCGCTTGCAATCATCTGATATTAAAAACATCCCCATCTACATACAATAGAAGATTGGTATCCCCTCACTACCGTGACCAAAAGCAACGATGAAAAGTAGATGTTGAACAGCAATGGAGCATTCATACATACAGACACATAGGCGGCGAGTTGTTCAAATTATTGGGGGGGCTCAAAAGTTACCGAAATTTTAGTTTTTATTATTATTATTAGTCAAATTGTAATTCAAACTTATTTTTAATTTTTAATCAATTTAAAAGTCAAACATTTAAACAATATAATGCAAAACAATGTAAAGTAAAATTCTATTTTTAAATATCCCGAACATTAAAGAATCTAGTGAACAGTTTAAACAATATAATGTAAATAGTGAAATTCTATTTTTAAATATCCCGAACATTAACAAAATCTAGTTTAATGCAGTCATGTTCCAAACGATTTTCTGCGCAAATCATTCCGAGAAGTGAATTCTTTGTACAAGTCTTCAATTGAAAGATTGTGGGTGCGTTCTTTATAGCAATGTAGTATGGCCAAATGATTTAATCTTTGCTGGCTGGTTGTTGAACGTAAATAAGTTTTTAAGCGCCGAAGGACAGAAAACGATCTTTCTGAGCTGCATGTGGTCACAGGAATTGTAAGAAATATTTTAATAAGTCGAGAAAGTTCTTCAAGCATTTCATTCAAACCGTGTCCGTTTGTATCTTTTAAAACGTTGACAATGTCTGTGACTGAGGTAATAGATATATTTCGTTGCTTACAAATATCGCGAAACATGTTGAAATGTAAATGCAGTCTGTCCTTTGACACATCTGGATATAATTCAGCAATATAATTTAAATGACTGCTGTCAGTTGTTGCTGCATGTAAAATTTTTGATTCCAAATCGGCAAGTTTTTTGAAACCATCAGAATTGAATCTAGCGTCAAGTGAAGAGATAGCAGCATCTACGATCTCTAAATACATTTTTTTAAAAAATAATTGCGAAGTGTCAAATACATGAACATTTTCGTTATTATCAGTAAAACGCTTCGGACGATTTCGCTGCCGTGGCAAACTTGGATCTTCAATATTTAATATTTTTGCATCATTAGTGGTATTTAACCAAAAAGACGAAAAGGTTTCATCGGATCGGTTCTGATGAAGCGATAACATTAGATTTTCTACGAGTTTACGAACTTTTGACATAGACAGCGTTGGACACTGCAAAACTTTCGACGTAGTTTCAAATTTATCGTATATGAGAACCAAACAGCGCAACACAAAATAATTATGAAAAGATGTCATTTTTGTGAGAAAACCAGCACATTTGGCGCCATATTCATTTCTGACAGAACTTTGATTTTCGAAAAAGTTTAGCAAAGATGTCCAGTTGTTTAACGCGTTCTTGATGCTACATATACGCATAGTCCACCTTGTTGGACATAATGGGCGCAATGATGTAGTTGAAGCATTACTTTGTTGAAAAAAGGAAAAACAAGCTAAACGTTTAGGAGATTCTTTGACAAACGTCACAAGTTCTTTTACAAAATGGATTGCATCTCTGCTCTCTAACATCACAGAAATTGCATCTTGAAATGCCAAACTAATATTGTGGTTGTTGCAATGGACAAATAATGCAGACGGCGATATTTCTAAGACTTTGGCCTGTACTCCATTATGAATTCCAGAAACGTTAGATGCTCCGTCATAACATTGTCCTCGACAATCTCTGATATCAAAATTGAACCTTAATAAAACATCCTTCAAAATGTTGAACAATGTACCAGCATCTGTGGCGTCCGTGTTATAAAATCCTAGGAAATATTCTTCTGGAGTAAATTCATTATCAACAACTCTTAAGCAAATGCTGACTTGTTCTTTAATTGCAATGTCACAAGTTTCGTCTAAAAGTATGGCGTAATACTTTCTCAAATGAATATCACTTATAACAGATCTGAGAACGCTGTGTGACATAATTTCCAACAATTCATTTTGAATATCTTTTGAAGTCCATTGATAGGATGTTTGTTCAAGCCATTGCTGTAATTCAGGACTATCTTCTGCACGCAGACGTAAAAGACAGTGAAAATTTGAATCATCATCGTCATGAGAGCGTATAGCGATATTTTGAACAGACAAATATTGTAAAGTGGTTATAATTTTAAACATCGCGGTCTTTGCTAAAGTTCGTTGTTTTTCATGAGCTGTAACTAAGTGTCCAGCAACATTGTTC